CTGTGCCTTGCTAAACACCTCATGCGTCACTCGCGACACCTAAGCTGGATGGTATGTCTGAGCCACTTGGAGGCGAAAGCGAAGGCTGACATCACAGAGACACATTGTGGTGCAACCCTTGCGCGCTCGACTTCAGGCACCGCCCTCTAGAACTCAGCAGCTTGACTCAAGCAATCCATAGTAGGCCTTCCTGCCGGCCCCCTCTTCAAGCGAGCTCACCAGTGGAAAGGGATTCAAGGGTAATCCTGCGACAGGCAACGTGCGTCCTTGACTCACTGTCGAAACCATGTCCAGGGCTTTGGAGTGAACCAAACTTGACCGTAGGGCCCTCGTGTTCAAGGCCCCCAGGCCCAGGTCGGCACGAATCCACGAATCACTGGTTGAGGCTAACTTCCCAAAGCCTCGGGGGTTTCAGGAGGTTCCCCTACATTTCATCATGAAACCATCACAGGTCTTTCAAAAGTAAGGGTCCGACACTGGGCATACCTTCCCTATGATCTCAATTCCAAAAACGAGTCATACTCAAAACCCTCTATTAACATGGCCTAGAGCCATGTAAAGAATGAAGAAGGCGCCCGCACCTATTCATGGTTGGGACAATCGTCCCTGCTCCACCTTCCCCCCTAAAACAAACCACAGCCATGGAGCCCTCCGGAGGCCTCCCTGAGAGCTGTTGCCGATTTCTGGGCCTACCTACGGTTGCAACTTGCCAATTGTCCTGCCCAACGGGCTGTTTTGTGGCCCCAGAAAAGGAAAAAAGAACACCAAACAAGAGGTTCAACGCCCCAAATCAATTAGGCAAGCCTGATTGCATGGTGCCCACCCCAGAAAAGAAAAAAAACTAGACCACGGTTGGCCCGAAAGCAGAACATCGCAAGCGAGGTCGGCCCAACGCTGCAGGATGCGTTCTTTTTCCCTACGCGAAAATTTTGTGAAGCAAGCGCGAGACAGCACCAGGCAAGGTGCTCTGCGCAAACTGGTCGGTGCAAGTTGGTCTGCGCAAGTTGCTCTACGCAAGTTGCACTGTGCAAGTTGCTCTGCGCAAGTTGCTCCGCGCAAGTTGCTCCGGCAAGTTGGGCCCTGCAAGTGGCTCCCTGCAAGTTGCTCTGTGCAAATTGCGCTCCCTGCAAGTTGCTCTGTGCAAGCTGCTCTGTGCAAGTTGCTCTGTGCAAGTTGCTTTGCGTAAGTTGCTCTGCGCAAGTTGCTCTAGGCAAGGCGCTCTGCGCAAACTGGTCGGTGCAAGTTGGTCTGCGCAAGTTGCTCTGTGCAACTTGCTCTGCGCAAGTTGCTCTGCGCAAGTTGCTTTAAAAAATGCAAGTTGCATCTTGCGACGCCCGCCCGCGGACCAGGGAGGAATCGAACCCACGACCCGCCGGTTCCGGGAGCAGGCGCGCGAACCACGAGACAACTCCCGAGGACCAGTTCGAACAACAAAAGTCGCAAAAAACCTCGAGTTTTTGCACCTCGACCACGCCGATCCCCGCAGAGGGTTGCGCGGGAACCGCAGAAATCGCAAAAAAACCATGGGTTTTTGCACCTCGACCACGCCGATCCCCGCAGAGGGTTGCGCGAGCACCGCAGAAATCGCAAAAAAAAACCATGGGTTTTTGCACCTCGACCACGCCGATCCCCGCAGAGGGTCGCGCGAGCATGTTAAAAATCGCAAAAAAACCATGGGTTTTTGCACCTCGACCACGCCGATCCCCGCAGAGGGTCGCGCGAGCACCGCAGAAATCGCAAAAAAAACCATGGGTTTTTGCACCTCGACCACGCCGATCCCCGCAGAGGGTCGCGCGAGCAGGTTAGAAATCGCAAAAAACCATGGTTTTTGCACCTCGACCACGCCGATTCCCGCAGAGGGTTGCGCGAGCACCGCAGAAATCGCAAAAAAAAAAAAAAATAAAAAAAAAAAAAAAAAAAAAAAAAACAAAAAAAAAAAAAAAAAAAAACACGCCGATCCCCGCAGAGGGTCGCGCGGGAACTTTAGAAATCGCAAAAAACCATGGGCTTTTGCACCTCGACCACGCCGATCCCCGCAGAGGGTCGATTTTCGTGTAGTGTCGTCGGCACTACCCCGCCGCCCTAAGAAGAGATTTTAACTCCTCGCAAGTCAATTGCACTTGACTCCTTACACTTGCAACTTGCACTTGACTCCTTGCTTGTTTCAAGGAGTCATTGCAAGGAGTCATTGCAAGGAGTCATTGCAAAGAGTCATTGCAAGGAGTCATGGCAAGAATTCATTGCAAGCAGTCATTGCAAGGAGTCATTGCAAGGAGTCATTGCAAGGAGTCATTGCAGGGAGTCATTGCAAGGAGTCATTGCAAGGAGTCATTGCAAGGAGTCATTGCAAGGAGTCATTGCAAGGAGTCATTGCAAGGAGTCCTTGCAAGGAGTCATTGCAAGGAGTCATTGCAAGGAGTCATTGCAAGGAGTCATTGCAAGGAGTCATTGCAAGGAGTCATGAGAGCCATTGCAAGTTGCAAGGAGCCAAGTGCATGGAGTCAAGTGCAAGTTGCAAGTGCACGGAGTTAAGTGCAAGTTGCAAGTGCAAGGAGCCAAGCGCAAGGAGCCAAGTGCCACAAGGAGCCAAGTGCATGGAGTCAAGTGCAAGTTGCAAGTGCATGGAGTCAAGTTGCAAGTGCAAGGAGTCAAGTGCAAGTTGCAAGTGCAAGGAGTCAAGTGCAATGACTCCTTGCAATGACTCCTTGCAATGACTCCTTGCAATGACTCCTTGCCATGACTCCTTGCAATGACTCCTTGCAATGACTCCTTGCAATGACTCCTTGCAATGACTCCTTGCAATGACTCCTTGCCATGACTCCTTGCCATGACTCCTTGCCATGACTCCTTGTAATGACTCCTTGCCATGACTCCTTGCAATGACTCCTTGCAATGACTCCTTGCAATGACTTTCATGATGATGATTCCTTGCAATGACACCTTGTAATCACTCTCATGAGAACAACTCAAGTGAACCCAGCGGAAGAACCCTTCGCCATGCTTTCGGGAAAACTAAAAACAAACCTCCTAACACTGGACGCCGCCCCCACGTCCAGCCCCCAGCCCCCAGCCCCCAGCTCAATCCTTTCAACTCACGCGGTCAGTGTCTCAGTTCCTTGGCCTCGGCACGCGCTTCCGGACGCGGCTGGATCCGCGGCGTCCCACTAGCCATGGGAATGGATGCTCGGTGGCGAAATCTGCGAAGCCCTGCTAAAAGTGACTAACCTTTAGTGGTTTAGTACGGAAAACCCATTAGTTGGCGAAAAGTTATTCAGTCCTAACAGCCCTTGGCAAAATGCCAAAGGATTGGGGTCGTTCGGGAAAGGTCCAGGGCCGCTTTTGGAAACCCGAGCCCTACGAAAACCAAGGGGCACTAAAGAGTCTAAATGCAACGCGATTCAAGAAACAAACACGAAGCAGTGGAAGTCGAAGCAAGGGTTTTCAACAGCTTAAACTCACAAACAGCCCTGAGAAGCAACATCACCTGCATCGCGCAGGGGACATGGCGAAGTACTGAGCTCAACAAAGGAGTCCCTCAAAATAGATCATGGGCAATCTTCGTGATGCGTTGAGCGCGCGCCAGGCCGCATAGTGCTGGATCATGTCACGGGCCATATCTGCAGACACCTCCGCCTCCGGTCTCAGCGAGCAACTCTGCTACGTGTCACAAATTGTTCAAATGCCTTCCCATGGGAAGAATACGCATCCTTTTTTGGTCGGTTGAGTAAGGGGACCCTTCCCCACAACAAAAACAACACAAAAGAGGACGCCACTGGGCAACTGTTCATTGCATTTGTTTCGTTAAACTCAGATTCAGAGCCATAGAAGGAGCCATTGGCTAGGGGCTTCTCAGGCATACAATCCGTGGCTTGGTGGCTTCTTACACTAGCTTGGGCGATCAAACATAGGAGGTTAACAAACACAAATATATGCCCCACCTTCTTTTTTTCAGCCTGGTCACACTTCTTCCATGTCCGAGGTCATGTTCCCTTTGACATCGGCCTAAACGTCCCGGATGTCAGGAATCCAACATATATGCGAGTACCCTCACATGGGAAACTTAGTGGGTGCCCCTGCTTGGGGGGTTGAGCCTGTCCCTCTAAGTGACTACAGGCTACTGGATACGTTGCCGGACAAATCAACACCTAACAATATATGACCGAAAACCTGCCCCAAACCATGGTAGCAACACTTTGCAACATAGCCCCCCCAACAATGTGCCAAACAAAGCGGTGAACCTGTGCGCGAATGAATGCAACACACAACCAAACACCGCAGAATTCACAGCAAAACATTACATCAATACACATAGGCATACATATATGTATATATCATATCACATCGCAACTAAAACTAAGTCAACCAACCCAACCCAACCCACCCACCCGACCCACCCAGGATTTGCTTTTCCCCCCCTTCCTCCCCCACCCCCGGCTCCCCCACCCCTCCCCCCCTCCCCCTCTCGCCGCCTCCTCCATGAGCTCCGCCACGGAGCGCAAGGCCCTGAGCTCCGCCTCCTCCGCCCTGAGGCGCCGGTTCTGGCGCCAGAGCTCCAGCGCCTTCGCGTCCGGCGACTTGGGGACCAGCACCTGGGACCCGCCCAAAACGCGCGCCGAAGGGAGGCTCCCCTAGGCCCCTAGTGGAGAGGATGGAACGAGGGGGAGTAGCACCTGTCAGCGCTTCCCCCGAAATTCAGCTTCCCCTCCAAGTGGTGGTGTGGAATTTTTTGGTGGTCTGGTGGTGAAATGGAGTCGTGGTTTGGATTGTGGCCGGTTCCTTCTGAACCCAGGCGTCCAAACCAAACCAAGGGGAATCTGTCCAAACCAATTAGGGGAATTAGTGCGTTGGACAGCTTCACACAAGCTGTTGCTGTGCTTTAAACTCCCTAAAGGTCGCGCACTCAGTGCTCAGTGACCCGAATTCGTTCGTTCGTTACTTATTAAAACCAAATGGGGAGTCCAAACCACCAAACCAAACCAATTGGGGGAAGCTGGACCTGGGCACGAAGCGGGTGGCAAAACCCGCTCTGTAGGCGCTCTCTCTCTCTCTCTCTCTATCTGTATCTGCCGTTGCGTCCAACAACAAACCCACTTCGTGAGGCAACGCGTGCAGGCCTCCGCAGCCCGCTTTTTCTTCCTTTGTTTCTCCGAACAAGGCCGTGGAGCCATGGGTGTTTCGGATGTGTTTGGGTTGGGTGCCCGGTTTTTTGGGAGGCTTGAAGGAAGAAGAAGAGAAACAAACGCCATTTTGGAGGTCCCGCACATTTTGAGACGCAAAGTTTCCAGGGTCAAGGAGCATACATGGAGCATCCCGAAAACCCATTCTCGGAAGCAGGGCCTTTTGTAGGCGTCATTAAGCCAGATTAGTTTTCAGAAGGTTCAAAAAAAGCGATTCAATCGCACCAAAGACCATGAGTTAAAGTAGTTGCCAACATTGGGCGTGGGTAGGATATGCTTGGGATTCCAACTTGCTCTTGTTCTTTCCGTGAATGAGGGAATGACTCGAACATCCAACTGCAGACCAGCCGAATGAAACCCATGAATACTGGAATAAACATGGCACCCCTCCTGCAAATCAACATGGGACACAACTTCTTTGTGGGTCCCCACTCTGAGGGCGTGTTGGGTTCCATGTTACCTGGGGTGGTTGGAAAAGAACCCATCCTGCGATACCAGGGTAATGCCCATGACTAGGGGATCTCCTTGGGCCCCCGTTGCTGAGATTCATCATGGATCCCAAGCAGAACAAAGGGCAAGCCCAAAATTGGGTTGTCCCTGCATCAGACATCAGAGGGATCTTGAAGGAAACGAATGCCCACTAAGCAGGAACCCTTGACATAGGGTTCTTCATGGCGTGTCTTGATTCATAGGCGAATTTGCAGCCATAGTCGGATAGTGACTATCTCTGCCGCCCTGCGCAAAGCAAAACGACCGTGTTGAACTTTCTCAAGGGCTTGGGCATAGCTGGCTCGTTACCTGCCTCAACTACGCGACTGCGCAACTGGAATGCAAAGCACGTGTTCAACGCGGCAATGCCCATGGCATTGCTGATGCATCCAACAACCGTTTGTTTGCCTCACTTGCATCGGACGACCGCCCCCCTCTGGTGAGCGCGGCCAACCAACAACCGTTTGCTCACGCCAACCTGGGCCCCTCTTTCACAACACCTCTGCAAATTCATGATGATGGTCAAGGTGCCTTGGGCCGGACGTGGGCGAATGTCTCACCATCCGGGTACATTTCCACATCCACAGTATCGCTGCTCTCGTCCTAGGCGAGGCTTCTGCTTAATTAGCCAAAGCCTGGGACCCAAAGCAGCGCGTTCAGTTTTGCAGTAAATTGCTGAGGGGCTGCCTGTGTTGCTGGCAGCGTTCAGCCGGCATGCCAGGCCTCTCCAGGCTGCTCTCACTTTTAAGTGGGGACAAACTGGGCATGCGTCCGTGATCTTGGAGTGCCAACTGCTGACTGAAGTCATTTCCTTCTGAAGCCTATTGGGAGGTCTATCTGACTGGTTTCTTTGTTGCCGAGCTGAGTGGGGCTGGCGTTTTGGGTGCCCGAAGTACTGTGCTATGCTAGTCCAGGGCTGGTCTTGGAATAGAAGATTTTGCTCATGGGGCACACATGTGAATGTTCCAACAAGTATTGGATGCAGGTCAACTTCGAACACGTCAGGCCACCTGAACTCTCTACTCTGTCCAACTCTCTCTCTCTCTCTCTCCTTTGCTCTCCTCACTACAGTGGCACAACAGTTGTGCGCACACTGGTGGTAGCAAGCATGATGTCATTGGCAAAGGCGCGCTGGCCCACAAACCCAGTCGAACCAAGCAAGCCGAGCCAAACCAAGCAACCACCCAACCAACTCTCCCCACCCCCCCAGCCAAAAAAACAAAAAAATGCAACCACTCCGGCCCCACCAAACAACAACCACGCCCCAAAAAACTTCTCCCCCCCCCGCCCCCAGAAAACCCTGAACCCCCCCGACACCCCGCAACCCGTTCCACGCCGCTCCTTCTTCAGCACCGTGGCAATCTCCCAGCCCTTGGAGGTCTGCACCTTCACCTTCTGACCCACCTCAGTGGCTCAGTCAGTATCAATGGCCGAGTGGATCTGAAGAGACCCAAAGACGAAGCAAAACGAAACGAGAGGTGAGAATGGAACCAGAAGACTACATGGACCAGAAGGGGTTCCAAAGGGGTGTTGGTTCCAAAGAGACAATTTTGAGGAGAAATAAAATAGTAACTTGGGAGTCAAGAGCTCGATTCGCTTTTGGAGACAAGTGAGCTAAGGGTTCTTGGAATTGGTGCCGACTTGATTTGGGATTCAGCTTCGTTTGTTTTAGGGTTCCTTCCGCAGAAACCACTCGGCAGGGGCGTTTCTTCACTGAGTGCCAGCAAGTTGTTCGTGGTTCCCCTTTGGGGCTGGAAACTCCATCGTGAACCCCAGAGTGCCAACTAAGAACCACAAGAAAACTGCATGAAAGTGCCAAAGTGATTGCCTTTGTCGCGGGATTCGATTCGACAATGGTCAAACACCTTGCCAATCAAATCTCTAACATCGAGGCGAGTCAAACTGTCCAGCCCCTTGGCACGGTAGCAAACATCAGCTTTCTTTCTGCGGCATTGTAGCTCCCCGCTCAAATATGAACAGACCCCAAAACCCCCCCCCCAAAAAAACAACAACAAAAAACTGGCCAGCAGTGAAGCAAACCAACATGAATGATCAAAAGACAACAGCTTAGGATTCCAGGGGTTCGTTGGAAAGCTTCACATCGAATCCGATGCCCCGCCTGGGCCTTGTAGCGCTCACTGGGCTTGGCCGCCTGCGGCGGCCTGGTGCGCGGCCTCACCTCCTGGTAGCTCTGGCCTGCAGATCAGAGACTTTGGCTCAATATAGCTCGGCATTCTGCGAAGCCTAAAAGTGAGCTCACTTTTAGTGGCTTAATACGGAAAAAAACCGTATTAGAGGACAAAAAGCTATTCAGTCCGATCATCCAAGCAAAATGCACCAAAGTTGGGAAAGCCTCTATAGGGATTGGGGCGCCCCGAAAAGACTATTAGGTTCTTGAGACTACAAGGGTGGGTGGTTGAGAGCCCTAGGGTGGAAAGTTTGGCTCAAAAAAAGGGCGGGGAACTGTGGCGACATTTGTCCGTGTTCATTGCACCATATTTGCCTCTATTTTGAGGTGTGCCTGCTTAGAGGAAAATCATGCAAGGGCCATGGCAGGGCGATCACGTCAAGTGGCCATCTGCGAACTCCACGGTCAGGCTGTCCTCTGGCCGACTGAGGGCGCTCAATTCGGTTCCATTCAACCCATTTCTGAGCAGTGGAAACTGAAAAAAGGGATTCAGCCAAAGCACAAGGCGCAAGCCCAGAATCCAACGACCCCGATGAAAAAACAAGTCCTGTTAATAGAAAGTGGTCCCCGTCAAAAGTGATGATACTCCATCAAAAGGGGATGCCCCTCCAGTAATCAAGCCGGGGTTTATTAATCCGGGGTCCACATTGCCAGTCCACACCTGTCCTCCCCCTCGTTTACCGAGATGACGTTGGCAGACTCCCAGCCACGCGTGGTGCATACCTCGATGGTGTCGTTGGCTGATAGCTGAGCCTTGGTCAGCGCATACGGCAGTGCAGCAGCGAAGAACCAAATGGGACCTACAACATACATTGCCAATCCAACATGTTATGGCAGCATCTTCTAATAGTCAACGTGTGGATTGCATGATTGCCTTATCGGTTTTCGAAACTGAATGCCAAACACTACATGAACACCAACAAGGGTCAGCGGCCAAGCCGAACTACATGGAGACTTACAATGGAAGCGCTGCACTCCGCAGAGAGGTTGAAGTTCAAGACCAATTTCTCGGATTGCGCCCCCACACCTTGACAGCACTGCCACCACCGCAACACCAAATATGGCCCGTATTTATCGGCAACGTGGCACTCCGTTCCACATTGTGGGTCTTCAGGTGGCCATTCCCCAAGCGAAGGACTCTTGTGGCTTGAGCTCGTTTGACCCCCAAATCGGTCAGCTCGCAAAGGAGAGGCAGGGACCCATGGCCACTTCGCGCGGATACGACGTCAACTGGGCAAGGCACAAATCTCCAGGGGTAGCGCCGCAAGAGGACGCCCTTGTACCTGAGCGCCGTTGGCGAGAGTCCGCCGATTTGCCCGTTTCAAGAATGGTCAAAGATGGTCAACCCACAGGGCCGAAGGCAACTTTTCTACAGCTAGCCCGTAGCCTTGCTTTGCAGTGCCCTTTTCAGCCCCATATCCCCATGAGGCCGTACACATGGCCCTTGGATCGAATGTGAGTGGAGAGGTGGCTTGATGCAGAAAGTATTGGCCGTCAGCGTGGCAAAGATGAGAACCATTGGCGAAGCGTTGGTCAACGGATTTGCAGCTCAGCAGCTCTACGCTCTGGTTCGTGTCAATCACGCTCAGCTCGACTGCATCCTTCAGTTCAGGGGGTGCAAAGACCACACTCACCAGGTAATGTTGCCCTCACAGAATCAACCCCAGCTTGTTAATAGGGGGGTGCCCCCGGGTTAAGTGGGAGGGGCCCCTATTTATACACTGGGGTTGATGAATATCTAGCTCCTCCAGTAGAGAGGTTAGAATAAGGGTTCCCACTTTTTTGCTGCAGGTCTATTGTAGTAGGGGAACCATCCCAACCAAAAAAGGAAATGGGAGAGAAGGGCAGCGATCGCTGGGGGACCTAGACCTGGGGTCAACGGGCAGCACTCGTTACGGCCAGCGGCGCTCTGCTTGGCCAGCACCTTGCCAGCTGTCCAGGTCACCTCCACTCGACTCGACTCGCGCGGGGGATGCGTTTCTCCGGATATCGAGTCATGCGAGGTCTGACCTCAGCGCGTCCATCTGAAACTCAGTCCAGTCCAGTGACTCTGGAAACAAAGGGAACCCTTTTTGGGGAAGACCATTTTTTAGTTGGGCCACCAAAAAAAGGGGGAAAAAGGGTGCCACTGAACAACTGAGGAAACTTAGCTTACAGAGAAACCACCCCCAAAGCTAATTTTGAGAACTTGTCTTCTTCCATTTGGTTTTTTTGGCTCCCTGGAGAAGCATCATATTTCTAGTGGTCGATTCCCTTTAACGCCAACGCGGGAAAAGATGCTTAAGCAAATAAGCCACGTCCCAAACGTGTCATGATTTGCTATGCCGTATGATTTTGCTTACGCCACCAGCTTGCGCCACCTTACGCGTCTGGACTTGTTCCTTACGCGACACATGTGGAGGTTTGCTCACGCCAACAGCTTACGCTACCTTACGCGCGTGCAGTTGTTTTCTTACGCACAGGTCGATATGACATGACTCTTACTAAACATGTGCACCGAGGTGTTGGACGCCGGTCAAGTGGAAGCAGTGTGTCCATCGGACGCACTAAACCTTTCAGCTCGAAACGGGATTCTCAAAGATTTGCATTGACTTGCCCTGACGCTTGTCACCTATCAAAATGACTTCGGATCTATCCGATAGTTGATTGACTTTTTTGCAGCCGCCTACTAAAAATGAACAGAGCCACAAAACCTCAAAACATCCAAAAACATGATCCAGCAACAGTGAAGTTGCCTTAGGGCTGGAAGCCGCTGCTGAACATTTGACCAGAACCACAAAACCAAAACCCCAAAACATCCAAAAGTATGCCCAACCCCCGCACCCCCTGAAGCAACTCCCAGACGCTCGCGGGCCGAGCGGCATCAAAAAGCCCGCTGTCCCCGAGCTGGGCCACTTCCACGAGGTCTCCTGCGCCACGGTGTTCGCCGGGTGTTAGTGGCACAGAGCTCGGGCAAACATAACAAAAAGCGAACCAACCCCCAACTAACCCCCAACTCACCCCCAACTCACCCCCAACTCACCCCCAAGTAACCTCCAAGTAACCCCCAACCAGCACCCGACTCACCCCCAACTCACCCCCAACAACAGACTTGTTTCTAGCCAGGCCCAAAACTACCCCCCAACTTGGGCACAACTTGGTTGCTGCCACGATCCCCGTTGTCGGCTGGGTTCAATTCGGAGCATCCGGCCTGCTTCAACCAAAAAAATCGGCCCGTTTTCAGTCTGGATTTCCCCAAATCAAAGGTTGATCGGATTGCTAATAGTGTCCATGGAAATGATCGCCACTTTTGGAGGTTCTGGCCTCAGGGCCAGCTTTGGCGCATGTTGATTGTGCAATCAAACGATGTCAGGCAAAGGCATTCCCAACCAAAAATTATACGTGAGCTATGTGCAACGACAGTTACATGTGTTTGTGTATAGGTATATGTATATATATATATAAACGCGTATGCATGCATGCATGTATGTATGCATGCATGCATGCATGCATGCATGCATGCATGCATGTAGGTAGGTAGGTATGTATATATGTATGTATGTATGCATGCATGCATGCATGGATGCATGGATGGATGTATGGATGTATGGACGTATGGACGTATGGATGTATAGATGTACGGATGTATGGATGTATGGATGTATGGATGTATGGATGTATGGATGCATGCATGCATGCATGCATGCATGGATGTATGGATGTATGGATGTATGCATGCATGGATGCATGGATGTATGGATGGATGGACGTATGGACGTATGGACGTATCGATGTATGGATGTATAAATGTACGGATGCATGTATGCATGGATGCATGTATGCATGTATGCATGGATGCGGATGCATGGATGCATGGATGCATGCATACATGTATGTATGTATGTATGTATGTATGTATGTATGAATCAGCTCACCAGTGCACAACAACACAGCTAGACAACCATGACGGATGTATAGAGATTCGATATGCGTTACAACTAGCAGGCAGGGTGGCATTTCCGGGTATGTTCCGAACCTCTGTCCCAAGCTGCCCTTTCAGCACAGGTCTGAGAACAACAAGGTACCCTGAAAACCCTTCCAGAACCCGGAACCCTTTCTCGATCGCAAGCCAGCAAACCTCCAGTCAGCTCCTGGACCCCCCCCCAAAAAAAAAAAAAAACGCTCCAGGCCCAGCAACTCAGTGGCCCAACAACTCTGCACCTCACTTCCGGATCGGATTTGGCCAGAAGTCCGAACTGTTTGTTCTTTTGGTCCAGCCCCAGAACGAACCGTGAGGCACTCTCGGCTGTCTGCAAAAAAGAATCGAGTAACCCCAGGGACCAGCCCACAATCCCTCCGCAAAGTCCCCTTGCAACTTCTCCTTTTCGGGGCAAACAAGGAGCTTTCAGCTGAGGAGAAAGCAAAACGTTGTATTGACCAAACAACTTCTTTCGGGCAACCCCCCATTTGTGTTCCTTCCATCCATTTTCCAAGGGTCGTTGGGCAGGCAGGGTACCCCCCCCCCCCTTTCATTGGTGCTTCCTTCCCCCCACTTTGGGCTTGGGAAGGCTCCCTCCTGTCTTGACCTCGTCCATGGCCAGCATGGGGCCATGCAGGTCATGGAGACCTGCGCGGGGGTTGGAACATCACAACGGCCATGCGGCTACTTCATGGGAGAGGTTAGGTCCTCCAGATTTGAGAGGTTAGAATAGGGGTAATTACCAACTTTTTCCCGTAGGCTATGTTAGGCTAGGGGAACCCTCCCAACCAAAAAAGAAACGGTGAAAGGGCACTGCTGGGGACCCAGACTTGCCGGAGGTGTTCCTTGGCCGGTTCCTTGGCCGCTTCCGGGAGGGGGAGAAAAAGGGCTGGGAAGGTTTTTTCCAGTTCCCCGGCCCCCAGTCCAAAAAAAAAGGGTTTATGGGGGAGCCAAAGACAGCGGTGAGGGGAGGGACAGTTTTTTCCAGTTCCCCCCCCCACCCAGAGAGATGATTTTGTGTGGGATCAGACATCAGGTTCTATCGGTTGGTTGCGCGCACCATGGAGCAGTGACTCAAGGTGCATGGTGACTGATAAGGGACCCCCTTCGCTCGTTTTACGGTCCGAATCGGTCAGATCGTCGTGATAGTTGCAGCGAAGTGTGAAGCCTCCACTTGCGGCTGGCTGTAACTGAGTCACAAAAGCTTCCCACAAAGTCTGCCTGCTGCCAAGCCCATGCAGGCGACAGAAATGAAAAATGACCTACCCTCCCACCAACTAACATGGAACCTGACAGGGCGTCCTGGAATACATGTTTCTTTTAAAAAGACCCCGTGTCAGGCTCCATGTTAATTGGTGGGAGGGTACCTCCTTGCACAATATGGACTCAGCAGCCAACACGATTGCACAACCAAGGCCTGTCCAGCCCCTCCTGGCATGTTCTGTGAAACCATGCGCCCAATTGTTGCAGTGCACATCTATTTCCCGAATATCAAAGCAATTGTTTGCCCTGAGTTTGAGAAAATGTTTGCATTGCATAGAATTTATGCGGTCCTGTAGAGTGGTTAGAACAAGGGCACCTTTCTTGGCGTGTCTATCTTAGTAGGGGAACCCTCCCCCAAAAAAGGGTGAAAGGGCACTACTGGCGGACCCAGGTAATACATGATTCGTGTAGCTTCGACACGCGGGGGGTCCATGCCCTTCACAGTCTTGCATCTGTTCAGTGTTGGCAGTTTGAGTCAGCTGTTGCTTTGATTGCCTTGGCTTCTCCGGAGGCCGCACCCCACCCCACGCCCTTCCTCCCCGGCCACCCGCCTCCCATGAGCAGAAGCTGCCTCGCGGCATTCTCAGAGAAGAGGGTCCTCTTGTCCTGTCGGGCCGAACCCAGCAGCACTCGCAAGCCGAAGGGGCGATCCCATCGCCACGAAGCAATGCTAGCCGTGTGTTGAAACTGGCCCCTCACTCAGCTTCCTTCGCACATGGCTTGAAGCTTGATCAACTGATAACTGAACATAGTTGTTGCGGAGAATAAACACCTCCAGTTGATATTTTGGACTGGAGGTTCGGGGTGGTTTCCCACTCTACAAGAACTAGGGCTTCAAATCCCCAAACCATCAAATAAGGGATGCCTGAAACAAGGCAAGGTGTCGCTGCCCCCGCAGCAAACCACCAAGAAATGTCCCAAGTGCAGCGGCCAAACAACGTGCGATGTACACATGTGCGGCAGCAGTACCGGCCAAAGTCCGTACCGCCCAATATCAGCAACCAAGCTAGATGCGGACCGAACGCAACCTCCCAGTTGGATTGCTCAATGGCACCTTTCTGCACAGGCATTCCTCAACCCCCAGGCGGCAACCGCCGACACAAATGGCATGTTGCCAACTTCGGGTGGCCAAGGAAGCAGCCCATGCCCACTCACACATGCACACGGCGGAATTGTGTTGGCGATTCTGTCGCCCTGTCCGACGATCACAGCATGTTCTGACAAATGGGCTCTAGAGCAACAACATCTCTTGGTTGCTGTTGACCCCTTTGCAAGAAGTGTAATTACTTTGTGTGGGTGAAATTCGGAATATGCGGCCTGAAACAAAACCAAAAAGCCAAAGTCCAAAGATCTAAACAGACAGCCCTTGAAGATCTGATCTTCCCAATTTTGATTTGGGTCCGCTATATCACCCTACCTCGAGAGGCACATGCTGCATGGACGCCCGATGGCGCCAGTCCTCCACCCAGGGTGGCAGGATCGAGACCTTTGGCAAGCCCGAACGAACAGCAAGGCCACGTCTGAGGCGAGAAAGTGTTCACTGCTCCATGAATTCCTTATATATATATATGCATATGTATGTATATGTAATTGCGTGTATATCAATATACCCAAGGAAGTACTGTGGATGGAGGAATTCCGCAAGACGCGCCACTTGGCATGGATGAAGCCCAAATAACTCATGGAAGAAACCACCAACTGGTGCGACATGAGCCACAATGTCCAGCCACCGTAAATCAACCAAGCGCCCGGATCTCGGCTTCACATCCCAGGAAAATTGTAGCTGGCTGGCTGAAGGCTGCAAGTGCCAAGCCTCATCTTGGCCCAGTGGATGCAACTTGGTTGACGTTGGAAGGGGAGCAAAAAACTATTGTTTAGCAGTTAAGTGGGGATTTCCCACTAAACCACAACAAGCAAAAGTGTAAAATGTTTCCCAACAACAACGATGCATAGGGGGGGATCATACTGTGGACGGACAAAATCCTGCACCGCCTAAAAACCCTGGAATGATTCGATTGCCCTATAAATACCCAACAAACAATGGTTTCAACCATGGTGTCACTTCGTGGTGCAGGATTTCGTCCATCCACAGTACGGCCAGGTGTGCCCATCCGTGTGTCTCACAATAAGCTCCAAGTTGCTTTGCCTGGTGCTCCTGAGAGGAATCTAACAAGGTTCGAACTGCTTGGCAGGGCTTCGGCAAAAACACAAAACCGACATGGCGCGGCACAGCGACAAACCATCCCTCCGAGAAGAAGCCAAAAACACCGTAGTGCCAAGGGCATTCATTCCCAGTGCTGTCTGCTACCAGTATAGTTGGCACCCAGAGATCCCCTTTTGGGGCCACGGCAAAAATGGCCAAACCCTTGAGCCGGCAAAAGTATGTGGGTCGATTCACTGAAAGTGAGTTGATGCAAACTGCCCGTTTTCCAAACCTAGAGCAAATAGGCAGAAACTTGGGGGCCAAAAACTGAGCGCACACTGGCCCTTTTTCAGCCTCCAACTGTCCTAGTGGTGCGCAGCCCTGTCTCCCGGGGCTGCCTGGCACATGAACCCATGAGCAAGCCTCACCTAAGACCTCTGCCCAAAATCGACGAGTGCATCCAACATTGAGCCCACGTGCCGACAGCGTCCGAGTGGAGATCTATATGCAGGCTCCGATGGCATCTTCGACGTCAGACTGAGCGCTAGGTGGGAGTTGATCAAAAGGTCCCTGATACATGGGACCACCCTTGGGGGGAAACCACTCAACAAAAATGACATGTCCCACCAAATGGTAAAATAGTCGTGGCATCGACCGAAATTCCTGGTTGTTTTTGGGGGGCCAGCTCCAAAAATGAAGGGCTTGCTCCAAAAATGATATGTCTGTCCCACCAACTGGTCAATTCTTCATGGTCATTTTGGGCGGGGCCTTTTTGACCAACTTTGAGGTACCAAGTCACCGAGTGGTCAGGAAAAACTGCCCCTCTCGGGGTGTGAAACGTGGATCCATCCGGGGCCGAGGCCGGCGGCGCCTTGCGGGGGGAAGTTGAGCTCCCTGAATCAATGCGCCTTCTTTGACTTGCCTAAGCCGTCGTTCCGTGCAGCTGCTGCTTCTTTTTTTGGGGGGAATATGGAATGCAATAAGTCGCCTGGTTCAGAACAGGGCTGTGGGAAATGCCCACTTCTGTGATACAACCAAAAAGGCCTGCCAAAGACGAACCTCGCATATAAAGAGGGGATTCCCTAAAGTATCACAGAAGTGAGGAGAAACCCCGAGTGATCCCACAAGCCTGGTTCAGAACAACATGTGATTCTGTGCCCTTGCGAGTTTTCTTCTCTGAATGGATGGAGGCCATGCCGGCCTTAGGGGGAACCCATTCATCTCTACTCTTGGTATGGTAGCTAAAAACTTGTTGTTTATTGCAGACCCCCAGTAAAAATGAACAGAACTAAAAAACAACAACAACAAACAAACAAAAACTAAAAACATGCCAAGAACAGTGAAGCATTGGTAAACCCTTGGTTCATTCGGGGAGCGTACAAAAGAAGGCGACCTCGCTGGTGCGTCACCCCTTCTTCATCTGCACAAGGGCCTATTGATGCTCACATTTTCTTGGGCGAAGTGTTGGGGTGGTGAAAGTACGTCCCTGGATGGACAAGTTCTTGAAACCCACTCTGCATTCTGGGAAACCGACCTGCCAGCTGGTGCGGGGCTGTGTCCATCCGCAGGGGCATTCTAAGAACCCGGGGCAAACCAAAACCCGCAAGTCGCCTGAGGCACGCAGGATCCCCTTGCAAGCCTCCCCGTGCTTTGAAGCAACCGCCCGACTGCGAGGCTGCGTGGGGCTTTTGCGTGCACCAGCTGGGCTTTCAGTTATCGGGTTAGCGCAAGCCAAAGGGAATGCAACCATCTTTGCAGTCGTTGATATTACAGGCTAGGTTCTGAGTTCGCCGTGGTGCACACATCCACCCCTTCGCCCTTGGGCGAGGTGCTGAACACCTGGGACCTGAGACAACGCAACCAACCCCCAACTTTCTCAACCCCACAAGGTCTACCCTCCTTCCAATAATCTAGCCTGCTTGAAATCCATTGGGTCCTAACAACATCTGCCTGCAATCCGCTGAATCCTTGCTCTGTTTGGTAACTTTACTATTCCGTCATCCGCGCTGCAAAGTGTGATTCGGAACCGTGTGCTCCACAAGGAAAGCTTTGGTCTTCCAAACCCTCGTGATCGTGGGCGTCCATGATCATTGGGGTAATTACAAGTCAAGATTGGCTTCACAGCGGATTTCACAAGTTTGCCAAATGAGAAACACTTGAGGCCATGGCGGGTGCATGCTGTGGCTGAGAGTGCCCTTGTCGCCTTGGTTTACAGGGGAACCAAAAGGACAACAACACTTCCTCCTAGTTTGAGGCATACCCACACTGTCTAACAGGAATGCAACTACTCACGGTGATAGCTGATATCATCGTTGCTAACCTAAACCTCTGTCAGTTCAGAACACACACATGGTTTGCCTTTAACCACTGCGGTTGTTTTTTGCTGGGGCATCTCCTGGACCGCTCTCTAGCTGCGGCTTCCTAAAAGGGTTGGCAGGGTGTGATGCAAACGGCCATGTGAGAGGCAACCTTAATCAATTCTCACACACTTGTGACTATGACTTGCTGGTGCGATAGGTAACAGGTAGGGCATGAGAAACGGAATGACCCTTATAAACCATTTATTTGTGGTTTCCTTTGAGGGGACCCCTGAGTTCATTCCCTCATTCCCTCCCTATCGCACCAGCAAGATGAACAGCACCTCCTGACCATAGCTTGCTGTTCTATTCGGACGTCGCCGCTTCAAGCGCACGTATCGCCCAGGCTCCCAGGTTGTAGCTAGGGCCTGGGTCGGCTTTGGCGACTGGACTTGGTGCAACACTTGCACCCCACACAAAACAATGTTCTTGTCCAAATCCCAAATCACTTGTCAGGGATAAAGCAAACATGTTCTTGTCCAAACCCAAATAAAGAAATGTTGCTTGTCAGGGGATGAAACAACCATAATCACTAAAATAGAGCAAACATGTTCTTGTCCAAACCGCTGGGAGCGCTGGAAGTCTGGTCGGCAAATAAAGACATGTCACTTGGGCATGACACAACCATTCGCCTGTCCAAATGACCGGGAGCGCTGCAGTGCATACCTTTTGGCCGGAGACAGAAATGCCGAGCCACAGGCTGCAAAGCTGGACGGCGCAGCTAATATGTTTGTTCTAGATGGCTGTGGGTCAAAAATTGGTACCCATGGAACCCTGGCTGATGAAAGCAGAGACTAATACCTGCGGTCCCCTAGTGGTTTAATCTTGACCCATACCTTGATGAGGGCCTTTCGAGCGAAGACCGTGCGGATAATTTTGAATTGCCGCCTCCGGTAAACCACTGCAAGGTCTCCCCATCCGCGACGCAAGGCCCTGCCCAGTTGCCAATCCATGCGCCTTCAGATTTGGGGCGTCTCTTAACGCTGAACTGACTCCAAAATGACGACAGGACAATCCATGTGGATGGACGAAATCCCCACTGCACTTGGCGTAACTTTGATGAAACAGCACAAATACTGAGCAAATCACCTACCAACTGGTGCGTAGATGAGTTTGTCCATCAGTAGGGGCATGTGGATATCTTGTTTTGGGCTTGTATGCAAACTATATGTATACATATATATATATACGGGTGTTGCTACCCGTCTTTTGGTTGGATTTGTTTGGCTGCCAACCGAAGCCCTTGCCGCTCTAGGCGACCGATTCCTATTTGGGTGTCTTTTTTGAGGGTATATTTTTTGTGGGGATTTAAAGGGGGACCAAAAGTATAACCACAATTTTGCTTGGTTCACCCCTCTGCAAAAAGTCTTCACCTTTTTGTGGGTCCAATGGGAAATCTCCGTTGTTTCCCAAAAGGTTTTGTCCAAAGATCCAACCCAAAAGCCACAAAGTTTGGGGGGTACCCCGCGACCAAAAATACAACGCACCCATTTTGGGAAGCCCCTCTGGCGCAACTTGCGCCTCGAGTCCCCGACTCAGCGCTGCATGGGCAGCGACTGCACTGCGTCGAAGATCTTTTGCATGGCATCTGGGAACCTGGGTCGGTCTTTTTGGGCGAACCCTTCTGGAGTAAAAGCGAAGCCAAAATGGGTTGCTCTGGTAAATGAACCCGGACCCCGGTTTGCACCTGGGTGCAAGCTGCCAGGTTTTCTGGGGCGGCAGGAACATTCACATGGGATGTGCCCAGCCCAACCGTGGCTCAATCGTGTTTTTCTCCGTCCCTCTCTCTCTCTCTCTCTCTCACTCATCCCACGTGCAGAAGCAAGGAGCGTTTCCGGCAATGCCTGGCCCTGCACATGGGTGATGATCCACTTTGGCTGGACTTTCTTCTGTTCAGCCACGGAGTCCTGCGTTCACATAGCTTCGCTGGCGGGTCCGAGTCCATGCTGCAAGTTGGTGCCTGCAACTCACAGGTCTACCTTCCAA